CTCACGTGAGTAGATAAATGGGGACTCTCACTCCGGTGGGAGGAAAAATGCTGGCGGCACCTTGCAAAAAGGAGTCGGGAGCAATTGCCAGTAGCGCGAAACTACGCTCGCCCAAAAAAGGCGCGAAGCAACGCAAACCCCGCCTCCTGTGCTCGCCAGCTGGGCCCTGCTCTAGGAAGGAGCCTCTGGCAAACTACTTCCGAAACACCTTGCCTTGAAAACTGCAAAGGACTCGTCCAAAAAAAGCAGTCACTGCAGAGTCAGTAACAACTGAATGCAGATTAAAAAAAAAAAAAAAGAAGTGGCAAGTAGAAAAAGGGTTGAGATGCAGAAAATCTAGAGTTCCTGGAAGTGCATTTTACTCAGACACCTGTGGACAAGCATCATCTTTATCTTTACAACCACCATAACTAGAATCAGACTTAAGAAAAAGAAAGCTGAAATTGGCAGAGTAGTTTCTATGCAGGCTTTCAGCTTTCCCGTAAAAGGTATCATGGTCAATGAAAATTTAATTCTAAGTGAAGAAAAGTCCCAGGATACAGAATTAGGTGCAGAAACCAGAATCTCAGTTTTTAATTTTAAAAAAATGTTTTTAATCTTTGAGGCTATAACTGAATGGTTAAATATATACGGGAAAGGGGACATCTCAGATGCTACAGGCACTGCAGAATAAGATTTCCAGGATTCAGAACTGAGGCTACTGCAGGAGTAGTAAAATCAAGCAAAACAACAACAACAAAACCAAACAAAAAGAATAAACTCAGAAGAAATGTCATTCAGTTTCCAGATTTGGATTAATGCACAGAAATGCTTCCCTTCTCCAAAATTGCTCCTAAAATGTGGTTAATATTCATTTTAACGTGTATATTCCATGTCTTTCTAAGTCTCAGAGTAAGGAGAAATTCCACTCTTACCTGTGCTGGGGCTTTACACCATAGTTCTCATGGTTAAACCTCATATTCAGCTTCTTCTCTCCCCATCGGTTTACCAGAGCCACAGGAAGTATATGGTAAAGGAGATTTTTGAAACGTGTAAAATGTGCTATATCTAAAGGGTATCCGCCATCAGAGACCCGACTGATCACCCAAGCACCTGTTCTAGTGCTCAGAAAGATCTGGGGGAAGAGAAAGGGAAATCAGCAGTAACTCCTTCCCCAGCCTTGTAGTGGAAAAAATAAACCTAAAATGGAGACTGAACCCGTTCCCCCATCTTTTGGATATGACCAAGATCAAACCCAGTTCGCCTCTTTGCCTAATCCCATCCGATCTAGAATGACCCTCCCTGCCCTAGACAAATCCCCCTGCAATCCCGTCTAGACCATAGAAGCCTCCTCACCAGTTCACTGCATGGCCCAAGGGCAACCCTTACAAAGAATCTTAAAGAAACTCCAACTTTTCATCTTATCAGCTGATGACCTCAACATTCCCTCTTCTTCACAATGAACTTCCTCAGCTGAGCTGCCCTCCTGAAAGGCACATTTTGCCTAACAATAGAAATAATCCCAAGTACAGGGACAAGGACCTACCTAGCTTCCCAAAAGTGCCCAGCAAATCAGATCCCTAGGATTTCCTGCCTTATAGCCCTAACCTCTATAAAAATCTTTGCTTTTCCATTGTTCAGGGTCCCTCTTTCTTTTAAGCAAGTACCCAATGATCATTTTAATGAACATGGTTCTTCTCCTCAGTGTTGTGTTCCTTACTACAGCAACCCCCCCCCCCCCAGAAGAGCCCACTCCTCCTTCCACTGATGTATGCTTCCCAAGGGACAACTATGAGTTGCAGTGTATTTTTCCTGAGAGTGGAGAGTACAGGTAGAGGATGTCCAATAAAAAAGAAGAGAAGAGGAAGAATAATTAGCTCCTTCCCTTGCCTTCTACCCCTGATGTTCTCTGCCTAGTTTCCAAGCCACCAGGACTATCTTGCAGTAAGGAAAGCACATTTGGTGAAAAGTAGTATCACAAAGCTCTCTGGCCTCATTGACTAAAGTTGAATTTTCATTCACACGAATAATTTAATAATGTATTCACATGCATTACTAATTGATAGAATTAGTCTCTGAAACTCCATCCCCCAAAGCAACAAATGTACCCCCGTGGTATCTGAACTCAAAATTTGACAAAATTGCCTGCTCTTGTCATCAGACTCAAAGTAAAACTTGTTTAAATGAGCTGAACCTGCTTTGTGATATGGCTGAGGTCGATGGCAATCTCTACTCCAGAATTTCCCAAGCCTATGATGAGGATTCGCTGGTCTTCGAACTTTTCAGGATTCTTATATGTCCAACTGTGAATAATTTTCCCCTTAAATTTCTCAAAACCTGAAGAAAAAAAAAAGGATAAGAAACTATTTTTGCAATGCTGTGCAAAGCATATATTTGCTGGAGACTGAAAAAGAGTAAAATGTCAATATGGAAGCAGGATTTGGAATGATCTTTAAGAAGAATTCTCATGGTTAGATTATCCAAGGATCATCTAATGTCGCATTGCTGCCTGGGACATTCCATTCCCAATTTCTGTTCATACAATTATTAGAAATGACCAATAGATATCGGACAGAGTGATTATGATTCTTGAGCTTCTAAGCAATAACGAAGGCTTAGTGATAGGAAGCTACAGTTTCAAGGTTGAGATGAGAAACAGCAGTAAAGCCCAATCCTTTTTGCATCCTTATCATCACTATACAATGTTAGTAAGGCCACTCTATCTGGGCTACAGAAATCTGGATTCAGAAATGTTTTTTTAAAAATACTTTTTATTAAAGATTTTAACATTACTAAAAGATAATACAAACTAAAATCAGAAAAAAGGAAAAAAGAGAATAGAAAGTGCAGAAAAGAAAAAAAGAAAAAGAAAGAAAGAAAGAAAGAAAGAAAGAAAGAAAG